GGCCTTCCAGGCCACCTCCTGGCTCATGTTCAACTGGTTGTTCAGATTCATTTAAAGTGTTCACTCCAGGAAACCAGGCCACAGACTCTCAAATTTTGCAAGGATATGTCATGGGAAAGATCTCATTATTTGCAGTTAACAGCATACTACAACATACTGTCCCTAAAGTCTATCACTGGCAGAAGACACATCACTGCCTATTCATAACACTTGCAAAAACTACAGTAAACCAGTAACACGACTATAACCAAACAAATGACCATGTTCTGCCTAACATTCAGAGACAGCAATGGACTCATGTACAGACAGATGGAAACGAAAAAAATTAATCCATCTTCTTTATCATCTATCTTCTAATTTCACTGTATGTTATGTTCTGAAGTTAGGAGCAAACACTAGGTTAAGTAATTGGTATTATTTTCTTACGTCAAGTTTATTTTAAAAACCATATAAATTCACCAAGATATGGTACATGGCATCTTTAAAAAAATAAACTATGCTGGTCAAAGTTATCCGCTCGCAGAATATCTAAAAAACTGTACCTGTGTTGAACATTTCCAGCATGAATGGCTTCTGGTGGAACTCTCCATGGACAGCTTACTCTGCCTCCAGGAAGACGTCTGAAATCAAACTGACAGCAGATTTTTGGATCTGGACCACAAGTATGAGGAATGTCATAGCTGTAGAAAGGCATCATATGACAAAGGATATCTGTACTGGATCCCAAATCTGAAATTAAATACAAAGGGTACACTTCAAAATCTCACATTTGCCAAAAATAAATTGGTTCTATGTTCTGAATCCAAGAATTGTATTAAAAACATCATAATGAGACAATTTCTTGCTTTGAGTATCCTACCTGGGGTAGGATATGTATGTGCCTTACATATGAAGAGACTAAAACCCAAGATGCACCCAAGACTGGAATGCTCCAATCAAGCTCCAGCTGATTGGGAAAGATGGCAAAAAATGTTAGGGGGTTTGTAACCCACATAATGTCATTATTTTCAGAATTTTAGATGTGAAAAAGAAAGCAACTTCTATACTTTGAGTGAATCCAAAACAAATAAAAATAACCCCCCAAAAGAATAAAAAAATAAACCCAACCACCCTGCTATTACCTCATTAACACAAGATTTGAATTGGTTGGCGTTAGCAATATCTTAACTTCATGAACACATAGCTTCAATACATGAGCAGTACGATTCTATGTACTTGTAGATAGATTGTCTGTTTGCTTGAACATTGCATAACAAACCTCTATGCAATTCTAACATGCTTTTGCAATTTGAACTTTTCCACCTGGCCAGTCCGCTCCCTAAAGTTTAACCGAAGAGTTGTAGATACATTTTGTTATGTCTCAAAGGAAGGTTTTTCAAAATTGAACCTTAAAGAGAACATGAAGTTCTCATAGAATTTAAGAGAGCCTTAAGTTTAGTCATCTGGTAAAATCCCTAAATGCTGATTACTTATTTCTAGCACTAACAATTTTTAGTAATTTTATGCTGAAAAAAGGAATGAATACTGCAGACGCGCCACAGAACTTGGCTCCTAGGCATGTGACAAATACATACGAAAATACTCTTCAAAACCTTAACAGCAGTTTGAGTCTTCACGGTTCTAATACGGACCTTTTGTTTTAAAACTTCTATTTCACTACTACTTACTTATTATTAAAAAGGTAATATCGCATAAATGTATGCATTTATTTTACAGCTACAGGAGTTCTCCTTATCTCCAGCACCACATCTTCCAGATGAGCGTGCAGTGATCTTTGATACATGATTTGTTACGCAAAGCCTTCTACTGAAGCCCAAATGTTAGACCATACCATACCATACACGTTATTTATGTATGAAACTATTTAGGAAAAAAGCCTGCTCACTAAGTGGCATACACCAGTGTTCAAAGTCTCAATATTTGACAAATTGTTTCACAGTGGTATGTTTTCCTCAAGTCAAGTTTTCAAGTTTATTTGTGCAGCACATTGCTTTCTCTGAATATCCTCCTTCCTACAATCTCTGATTAAAAAACATACAGGAACTAAAAAGCTTCAGAAATCATCACTACCTTTCAATAGTAAGTAGTATATACATTTGTTTGACACTGTATTGATAAAGCAGTAAAATACAGCTTGCTTTAGAGAACAGAAAGACTCAAACCCGAACTACATACAGTTATCATATAGCTTATTAGAATGCTGGTACAGTACAAAGCAAAACAAAATATTCATGTAGAAAAGTAGTTTCATTTAAAGACACATCAATTTACTAAGACATCACCAGAGAAAACTTCCATACTCTATATTGTGTAAATAGCATCCAATGAGTAACTATATTTATTCTAAGAACAACGTTTTAGAGAATTACATTCCAAATTAAAATGGTGAAATATTTTTAATCTGTTTTTCTGACTGAAGATAATCTATAATTTTCACGTCGATAGAAAGCTACTGTAACTAATCACAATAGTTTGTCACACCAGCTGAAGAAAACTGGTTGCCTGAAAGTTTCTTCCTTAGTAAGAACCTAGACAAGACTGGTCTCTCTATCTTCAAATATTCACTTTTGGCCTTTTTTTTTTCCTCTCCAAGAGAAACATTCATGCTCCACTTTTTTATCCACATAGTAGGAAGAAGAAAACACAGTTGAGAAAAGGAAAAAGAATATTCCATGCCATATACACATATAAAAAAAGTACCAGTGAAAGTGAAGAAACTCAAATTCCCTTTCTGTTATTAAAAACTAAACAAACTCAAAACCAAACAAAAACAAACAAAAACTAAATCCTTGAAATTTAACCTAGATGAAAGAGTTAAAGCAAGCCAACAAACAGAAGTGCAAGTCTAAAATTATCAAGTCTAGACTAACTTCTCGAAATAAATTGTTCTGTAATTTTTTCCACAGTATTTCTTCAACTTTTCTTTGTATTTTACCCATGTAAATTAACAAAATGCAGTGACATAAAAGAAAAACACGTACCCCAGTTCTGTCTCCAGAAAAATTCTAGTGTCTTCTGTTTTGAAAAATGTTTTTTAACTGAGTAATGAACTCTCTGTATAAGCATATTGGAAAATCCTGCGCGTTTCAGAAGGTAGGCCATTGTTGGTGAATGCCCAAAAGGATCAACTGCCCAACCAGACTTTGGTTTTACTCCTGTTGACAAAAGAAAAAGTAAAAAGGAAAGAAAGTTTTACTTCTTACTCAAAGAAAGCTATACCAATATGATTGAAATCAGAGCAGTACAGATAAAGTTTCCAAGAAGATAAATTAAAACACACTGCTGAATACCAAGTATCCTGCAGAATACACCCTGGAACTAATAATCTAGGATTAAACATCAGGTAAAAAAAATGATGAAATCTTAGAGGCAAGGTATTGTGTTTATCTGCATAAAAACTTGATATTAGTACTCAACGATGTTTGAGGTTTTAACTACTACTACTACTGGTGCAACTACTACTGAATTTCGTATTTGCTTTTTTGAAAGCCTTACATAAGAGAACCTAATGAATACACAACCTGCAAGATCCAATCACATGAAAAGAGTATCAATGTTTAAGTCCTTTTAAGGACTTTTTAATGATTTTCAGAAGACAGAAATGGCAACTGGAAACTGCAATACCAGATACATGCGATCTACAACTAAGCACGATCTAGTGTTATAGTTTATTATGCCAATATACTATGCACATCTTTCATTGATTAAGACAAAACATTATGACACAGAATTGTTTAAACACACATCATGCTGGAATTTCTACCTGCAAACAGTAATTGCAAACACTAGTCTCAATCCTACAGCTTCCAGTAAGAGGTCTGATTTAATGTTTCAGGAAAACAGAGTAAAGAGAGCCTTCTAAACACCTCAGAAATACAAAAATGTGTTTTCTAATTGACTTCTTGTATTAACAAAAATTTTATATTGGGCTACATACCAAGGTTCTTTTCTAGCCATTGATGTCCTTCTATCAGCTGGTCAATTACAGCAAAATAATGAGAAGACGCTTCATCAGGCATGACCCATCCCCCTGTTACTATTTCAAACTGTCCATCTTTTATCAACCTGAAAAATATGTACATTGTGTTCAGACTCCTGTATATGAAAATACACTCTTATTATTTCTGAATATCCAATAGGTATTTGCCAGAGACATGCCAAAATCTAAATTGCTTGTTCTACTTCCATCACTGAATTACATCTCCTTGACCAAACAGGGAAAGAATAAATAGATTAACAATAAAATTTTAATACTTCTGCATAATGAAAACTACCACCACGTCTGCATGTGCCATAATATTTGATTTTTTTAAAAATCAGGAAGAAAGCTATTTCTTGCGCAGATTACTAAAATAAGCGTATGTGCCACAGTACTGAATGTCAATTGAGCAAGATGCCTAGACATCACAGATTTCAAGGGCTGCTCCTTTGATCTACTGTTGTTTTTTCACAGTTAAGAGTTTCAGACCATCACATTTATTAAAATGCCTTCTTGAAACAGATCACCAGATGATCCTGTCTCTCTATTAACATGTCAGTAAACATAATGATCATGCTTCCAGCATTAGGTGGTCCCTACTGTTAAAAAAATGGAATTTCAGCACTTACATTGTACATTAGCATACAAATGTTTAATGAATTTGAAGAATAAATACAGTAAACTAATCAAAACTTAGTCACATTATGGATAATACTTATAAAAGCAAGAATAAACATTCACTAAAAATAATCTCCAGTGCAGCTTCTGTAAGTCTTACAGCAGTTTCACCAATACCTGATTTTCCTGAAGAAAGGGCACAGTACCCTAGTGACTATCATGTACTATTTATTGTGTTCCAAGGGATTATTTTAACCTCAAAAAAACCCTGTGCTATAATACTCACATATTCTAGACAAATCCTTGAATATATACTTTTCGACATCATTCCCAAGATCTCCAGCATTACCTAACCTTTGCAGCTGTGAGGATCTCATAGCTTTAATTGATAATGCAATCCATGCACCTTGAAGGGAGGGGGCATGAGAAGGAGGGCATCACAGAGATGAGCTAAGAACTGCTGGATCTTGTCTTAAGGCAAAGTTAAAAGACCAAAACAAATAAACTTTTTGAAAACTCCAGACTAGATCCCTAATTCAAGTTTATCCAAGTAACACACTTTTTTTGTCCCAATGCCTAGGGAAACTTTTTACTTCTATATGACATTTGTGATTTTAAAAAGAAATAAGAGGAGCAAAGGTATAGAGTATATACTACTTTACAATTTAAGCAGCTTCATGTTTATAAAAAATACACATATTTAAGAACAAAAAAATAAGTCTTCACTATGTTGTAACTGAAGACAAAAAATACTATTTATAAATAGTTAATATGAAAATTATTTTTATTCCATTGACAATACTTCAGTGTGACTTCAAATAAAGTTTATAATCACAACTCCATTACAATTTGAATGACATCTTCAGAGTTGTACATGGAAACTTTTTGTCACTTTTTTCAGCTTCTCTTTTCTAGACAAACTGGAAAAAAAAATAAACCAAAGCAAAATCAACCGGAATTCATTCCAGAAGTCAATTACTCTAGCAATGCTGCATCACAAGGAGTAAAATTTTAAGTTTACAGTGTAGTCAAATACACAAAATCTTAGATCATGCTGCATGGAAGATAAAAAATAGTTCAGTCTTCAAACCTTTTAACAGCATCCTTTTTTTGGCTATCTATTCCATCCCACCATTTTGAAAAGTAAGAGATCTCAGACCACATAAATTTCCTTCGGTTGTCTTCTTGCAGTTTTATAACCATATTGTTTAAGATATGCTGTGTCTGATCTCTGAAGTAATCATCAAAAGTCTTCAGCCAACCTACGAAAAACAAAATATGAGATTTAAGCTGCTTTCAAATGTCTTACAGACCTGCCTTTGTCCTACTTGCTACAAAAAGTTAAATGAAGCCTTTTTTTAAAAAGCTAAACTTTACATACTGTGGACAGTTCAAAATGCTAAACTCTCCAAGAGCTCCATTTTACGAAGTTTAGATGTTTCATTTCATTTAGATGTTTCATTGGGGACCGGCTTGCTGGAGAGCACTGTAGGAGAAAGGGACCTAGGGGATCTAGTGGACAGCAGGATGCCCATGAGCCAGCAATGTGCCCTCTTGGCCAAGAAGGCCAATGGCATCCTGGGGTGTACTAGAAGGGGAGTAGCTGGTAGGTTGAGAGAGGTCCTCCTGCCCCTCTACTCTGCCCTGGTGAGGTCACATCTGGAATCTTGTGTCCAGTTCTGGGCCCCTCAGCTCAAGAGAGACAGGGAACTGCTGGAGAGAGTCCAGCACAAAGCCACAGAAGACGATTAAGGGAGCGGAACATCTCCCTTATGAGGAAAGGCTGAAGGAGCTGGGTCTCTTCAACTTGGGGAACAGGACAACGGGTGCAAGCTGAAGCATAGGAAGTTCCATGTAAACTTGAGGAAAACCTTTTTGACTGTGAGGGTGACAGAGCCCTGGCACAGGCTGCCCAGAGAGGGTGTGGAGGCTCCTCTGGAGACACTCAAAGCCCGCTTGGACGCGTTCCTGTGTGACCTGCTCTACGTGATCCTGCTTTGACAGGGGGGTTAGACTAGACGACCTTCTGAGGTCCCTTCCAACCCCAAACATTCTTTGATATACACAATAGAGTATCTACTGAAGAATGCCAAGTTATGTTAATAAATTGTTCCTATAGCGTGCATCAACATTTTAAGGTCTTGTGAAAGCTTTCAAACAATGTGAGGATTATATTGGCAATTCCATTCTTATTTATCACTTCTGTTCTGCAGAGGCACTGCTATTCTTACACAATGCCAGCCTACTTACACAGGATAAGGTTGTTCTGAAATGAGATAATACTGTTTCAAGACAGTTATAAAAAAAAAAAAATTAAATTTTAAAGTTTAATAAAATAAACTCACTTTATTACTGAATAGAGTCTGAATATTGATTCAGAAAGGACATATTACACTTTAAGGATAACAAATAAATGACATTCATAAGTAGAAATGCAGAAGTAGTGTAATTGACAATTGCAGAGCCAGTGTAATTGGCAATATGCACATTCTCTTTCCATTCACATCAATTTGTTAATTATATTCTAAATAAAGAATCCTGTAATTACGAATAACCACTAGACACTGGCACACTCCTACTTTGGTTGCACTGCTTTCAGGTTGCACTCTTACTTCGTAAAGGTCAAATTTTAACAAAGTATTCAGAAACAAAACATGACAGACTTCCAAGAACCTCCCTTTTTTACTTTCAAAATGAGGAAATAAAACTGTAACACTCCAGAGGAAAAGTGTTAGCTCTTTTTTTGTTTAAAACACATATGCCACCTCTAGAAGAATCATCATATCTGATCTTTCTGTACAGACAGAACAGTAGGGTCTGATCTAATCTATCTTAAAGTGGAAAAATACATTTTATCAAGACAGTTATTCTGAGGGCTTAAAATCTAAACTTAAAACATACCTTCCTCACAAGCATGGAAACCGCTTAATATTAAAAAGCTAATATTAAACTACTATTACTCAATAGCTTCATGAAGACTGAAAACAGAAAAGTGATGATGAAGCTGAATTTATGTTCCTTTTGTGTTATTTTTAATCCAAATTTATTGTGATCTCTGCCTAATCCAGTAAGTATTTTTTAATGAAATCTTTCAAAGAACTAAGATCACATTGGCAACTAATCTTTTTCAATGCTCATTTACATTTCACAGAATCACAGAATCACAGAATCACAGAATCACAGAATCACAGAATCACAGAATCACAGAATCACAGAATCACAGAAGCACAGAATCACAGAATCACAGAATCACAGAATCACAGAATCACAGAATCACAGAATCACAGAATCACAGAATCACAGAATCACAGAATCACAGAATCACAGAATCACAGAATCACAGAATCACAGAATCACAGAATCACAGAATCACAGAATCACAGCATGTTAGGGGCTGGAAGGGACCTCTGAAGATCATCTAGTCCAATCTTCATCCAGCATACCTAACCACTACACCATAGCCTCAAGTGCTAGATCTACTTTTTTTTTTAAACACCTCCAGGGTTGGTGACTCCACCACCTCCCTGGGCAGCCTGTTCCAGTGCCTCACCACTCGTTCAGTAAAGAACTTCCTCCGAATATCCAATCTAAACTTACCCTGACGCAACTTGAGGCCATTTCCCCTTGTCCTGTCATTAGTAATTAGAGAGAAGAGACCAGCATCAGCCTCACTACAGCCTCCTTTTAGGTAGTTGTACAGGGCAATAAGGTCTCCTCTCAGCCTCCTGAAAGGAATATTTTTACTGATATTTACATAAAAAGTTCATGGCTTTTTAGCAGGAATTTCTTCTGCAAGAGACAATGTTATGCTAGCATACAAGTAACAAAGAATGAACTAAACACATCCTATATTAGTCCTATACAGAAATATCTAATAATAATAAACTACTTTCGCATATTTTTATACTACAACAATAAAAGCTGTTAAGTCTGTTTAAACATTCTTGAATAACTTAATAAACCAACATAAATAAAGCAGCACTGCACTGAACAACAAAGCAGCTGGCACAGGAATATATTATGATGTAGGAAGAGCAGTGTTATGATTAACTGTTGTTTTGTTTGAATATATTCAGTTTATTAAGCTAGAGTGGAAGGATATAACACAGTTAACATACTGAATGTAATACACTTCAGAAAGTCCAAGGAAATATTTACAAGGATTCACAGAATTAGTTGCAAGTCAACAGACAGTCCTCTGAAATTTTATTACCATGCATCTGGCATAATTGCACTTAAATATTTCTCAATAGATGAGAACAGTTTTGGTTAAAAGAGACAACAATCCTCTAGTCCAACTGTCTCATCAGAGCTGAAAGTTAAAGCATGCTATTAAGGGCATTGTCCAATGCTCCTTAAACAACGACATCCCTGGGGCATTGATCACCTCTGTAGGAAAACCGGTCCAGAGTTTATTGTCCCAATAAACAAGTATTTCCTAATATCAAGTCTGAACTTCCCCTGGTGCAGCTCTGAGTTATTCCCTTGTGTACTGTCACTGGGAGAACTGCTCAGCACACCCCCCTCCACATCCCCTCCTCAGGAAGCTGTGGCGAGCAGGGAGGTCACCCCTCAGCCTCCTTTCCTCCCAACTAGACCAACCCAGGGGGCTCAGCTGCTCCTCACAGGACAGGCCCCCGCTCCTTCCACCAGCTCCGTTGCCCTCTTCTGGACACACTCAACTGCCCTAACGCCCTCCTTTAAATCTGTGGGGCCCAGAACTGCAGGCAACACTCCAGGTGAGGCCGCAGCAGCGCTGAATACAGCGGGACAGCCACCTCTTTTGACGGGCTGGCCATGCCGTGTTTGATGCACCCCAGGGTGGGGTTTGCCCTCTGGGCTGCCAGGGCACACGGCTGGCTCCTGCTGAGCTGCTGCCAACCAGCACCCCCAGGTCCCTTTCTACAGGGCTGCTCCACAGCCAACCCTCTCCCAATTTATACTTATGTCCAGAGTTACTCTGTCCTAGGTGCAAAAGGCAACAACAATTGCTCTTGCAAAATTTTGTATCTTGTCATCACTCTTGACCCTATGACTTACATAGTCTGTCCGATTTTGCATGAAGCCATCAAAACTAAAAAAAAATCAAATCTGAACAGAACAATGAATAAATTAATTTACAGTTGCTAAGTCTACTACTAAAGATTACCACATTAAATTTATTATTTCACATCTCAGTCCCTAACAATACATAAGAATCTAGGGCAACTCAAGTTCATTCTTATCCACAAACTAAGAATTTCCTCACAAATTGAAAGAAAATGTTTACCACTGTATACAAGCTAGTATTTTTACAGATGTCTCTGACATAAAACTTCAGTGCTAATTTCAATAAAGATGAATGTCTCACTGGCCAACACTGTGAAAGAAAACTTGAGAAACCTGATGTCTCTCAGGTAAGGCTATCACAAAATTAAAGCTGAAAGAAGTCCAAGATTGTTTTCCATTTTTCTATCTGGCATAGTATAAACCAGAAAAAGACAGGAAGCCACCTGGAACTTCCCTGTGTTCAAGCAATCATTCTGATTCATAAGAAAATAAAGAGAAGATGAGCCCCTTGTTCCCAAAAAGTATTCTCAGAAATAGAGTACCTTAGGTAGAAGCAGACATCCTAGTATTGAAAACATACAACAGTGTATTTACTTTTCCAATGGCATACTTTAAATTCTAAGAGATCTCTGTTCAATGGTCCACAAAAATAATTTCATATTTATGACATTTAAATTCATAAGCTGTAGTGGGCAGATGCACAATCGTTTGCCTTAAACACTTCTTGGACCAGTTTCTGACCCCATGCAGCAAACTCACACATGCTAAATGGAATGTGGTAGGGGGATCTGGTAAGGCTAAGCAGGAAACAAACACTCAGCCTTGGCCCAAATATGCATGAGATCAAGAGTCTTGAAATATCTCCTAAGGAGATAGGGCAATCACATATGCTAATGAGGATTACTGAAAAGAGTGACTTGCCTGGATCCCCTCCCTGGTATACTGCATGTCTGCGTGTAGATAAGTGTGTATACATTGAGGAGGGATAAAGCAAAAAGTTAGACAGGAGAAAGAGAAGGAGCAAGACACAGAAGCATGTAAACAGAGATGAAGACAACAAGAAGAGATGCAGGAGGAGAAGTAAAGATTATGGCATCTTTAAACCCTCGCTGGCAGGACCAACGCAGGAACCTAGACTGGTGACCCGTCTCTCTCCACCCCCTTCCACCTCTTTTTCCCTTTCCCCTTTCTTAGTAAGTAATGCAAGGCCTAC